TTGTAATTGTACAGGCATTTCCGTTCGTATCATAGGGTCGTGTTCATCTTGTAACCAATGGTGGGTCCATATAAATGTTGTTTCCCCATTTCCGATTCTTCGTCTGACCCCACTACATATTATACTCTTTGCTGCCATAATACTCCGCCAACAGAAACTGGGGTTATTTCCTACCTGTGCATCAAAAAACGTTCCCTTAGGAAAATACCGGGCTTTATAGACACAAGCCACTAAAGAGTCAGGTTTAGTGAGCATTCGCCACGCCTGCTTCCCCAACATTGCCAGATTAAATGCACGTAGATCCTTAAATCCCAGTCCCCCATATTTCTTTGGGACACAAAGTTTATCCCAAGCCTTCCAGTGTATTCGTCTATCACCTCCCGAGTCCCACCAATATCTATTCATGGTCCTCTCAATTGCCGTACATACTGATAGTGGTAGTAGAAAAACACTCATTGAGAAGGTAGGCATGGATTGTGCTACACTTTTCAACAATATCACTTTCCCTGCTTGAGATAGTAACCTTTTATTCCAGGACCCAATCCTTTGGCGTATTTTATCTTCAATATAAGCAAAGGCTGTCTTCTTATTCCTTCCAACAAACGAGGGTAGTCCCAGATATTTGCCAAAATTCGGGGCCTGAGTTACCCCAATACCTGAGCCACATTATCCCTGTCAATAATTCCTGTATTTCTGCTATAGCAAATATTTGACTTGTGGTAGTTAACCACCTGTCCGGATAGGTTCTCATATGCTGTCAGACATCTCTTAATCTCATTCGCCTCCTCCTCCTTAGCTTTGAAAAACAATAGGCTGTCATCTGCAAAGAATAAATGAGAGACTTGGGGGGCACCTCTTGCCACTCTACATCCATGAATCAGTCCTTCCCTGTTAGCTTGTTGCAACATAAGTGAAAGTCCCTCTGCACAGATAATAAATAAATATGGGGATAACGGATCTCCCTGTCTCAGTCCACGGGTAGGTATAATTGGATCACTCCTAGAGCCATTCACCAGGATACTATAGGAAACCGTAGTTACACATTTCATAACCAGATCCACCCAGTTCCTATGAAAACCCAACGCCATCATCATGTTACGAAGATAGGGCCACTCCATCCGGTCATAAGCTTTTGCCATGTCTAGCTTAAGTGCACCCCATCCCCCTAATCCACACTGTTTTCTGTTCAAAAAATGGCCTACCTCCGCTGCTAGCAAAATATTATCCGTTATCAACCTATCCGGAATAAAAACACTCTGTGACTCAGATATTATATCATCCATCAATGGTTTCATTCTATTAGTCATTATATTCGCAATAATTCTGTAGACCACATTACTAAGAGCAATAGGACGCAGGTCAGTTACCAACTCCGGGTTATTCTTCTTTGGAATTAGCACAATATCGGTATTATTTAAGCCAGGCGGAAGTTCACACGTTTCAATACAATTAATCACAAAGCTCGCCACATCCCCTCCCACTACATCCCAAAAATGCTGATAAAACCCTGGGTTCATTCTATCCGGGCCCGGAGCCTTATCAGGATACATCGCAAACAATGCATCTTTCACCTCCTCCACCGTAAAGGGCTGTAATAAAGAGTCATTCTGTGCCTGTGATACCCGTTTCTCTACCTTCCCAAAAAACTCCTCCCCTGTCCCCGGAGTCCCAGAGGTGAAAATATTTTTGAAATAATCCAAAATATTTTTCCTCATAAGTTCCCCTTCCAACCAATCCCCATTATCATTCATTATCATAGATATAGTATTCTTTTTCTTACGATGCGAGGCATACCTGTGAAAAAATTTCGTGTTGGAATCAGCCTCCTTGAGTCAGTGCTGCTTGGCTCTCTGCCTCCAATATGCATCCTCCTGGGCTTCCGTTCTGCTTAAAAGTCTCTTAATATGCTGGAATTCAGCAAGTGAGGCCGCGTCAGTACGACCCCTCAAACGTTCCTGATCCCTTTTCAGCATTAAAATCTGTTTCCCATACTTATGGAACCGATCCCCACCACAACATGTTAACCGGTTTCCACAGTACTGAATACACTCTTGCAACCCCTGCCCTCTCCCCTCGTCCCATGCTTGCTCCACTACTCCCCTACATCCCTCATCATACAACCAGGCCATTTCAAACCGAAACCCCCTCCTTCTTGTTCCATTCACCTCTATTCCCTCATTAATTCCACAGAAAATAGCAGAATGATCCGACTTCCTGGTTCTCAGATTCGTAACTTTAACATGGGGAACCACGTTACGCCACCCATCTGTCACCAGAACCTTGTCTAGTCTCTCCTCAATCCAATTCACAGTTCCCTTCCCCTTCTCCCAGGTATATGGATACCCCACCATCGGCAGTTGCGCTAGGCCACAATCCTCTAGTGTGTCTCCAAAACCCCGTAATAGGCTATTTGGATGCGGATTTCCTCCCCTCTTCTCGTACTGATATAGTAAGTCATTAAAATCTCTCATCACGATCCATGGGAGATCCGATTTTGCCGCAAGGGTCCTCAACAAGTTCCAAGACTCGGCACGACGGCTTCGTTCTGAGAAGCCATAATAACATGTCATCCTCCAGCGTGGATAACCCGCCATAGTGACCTCAATATCAACATAGTTCTTCGAGTAACTCAGTAATCTTGCCGTATTATTCTTTTTCCACAATAACGCTAATCCTCCACTTAAGCCATCATTATCAACATAGAACAAACCCTCAAACCCCATCGTAACACGAAGTCGCTCTGCATGATCTCTTGCTACTTTAGTCTCCATCAGAAATACAAAGTCAGGTTGCTTACGGGACACCATGTCCACTACCTCACGAACTGTCTGTGGATTACCCAAGCCACGGCAGTTCCAACTCAGCGTACTCATTGGCTCGGGCGGGTCTGTGATCCAGAACCCGCCGTAAACAAGTTTTTTGAGCCATCTAGCATCGTCACATCAGTATCACTTCCTTCCTGCTCCCGGCAGCGCTTAGCCACCACGGCCACCACCTCCTCACTCTCCCTCCTCTCTGCCTCTTCCCTCGGGTCCACCTCCACCGTCGGACGCCGTGCCGGGTATCCCGACGCCGGTAATGGCTTCGGCCTGCCGCCGAACGGGATCAACCACGGACCACCAACCTCACGTGGCCCCTTATTCCCCCCTACCCTCAAATCCGCAGAGTACGGATATTGTTTCACCGGTATCCTTGCTTCCCTTGCCTTCAAACAGAACTTATACGAATGCCCTAGCATACCACAACAAAAACAAAATGTGTGCAGCCTCTCATACTTAAAATTGACCCAGCATGTTGTCTTGTCACGTTTCAGCAATTTCATCCTTCTTTTAATCGGTTTATCCACAGGGATTGAAACCCTAATTCGAAAATATGTTAACCATGGAGCCCCAATAAATCTATCATCCAACTTCACAAAAGTTCCAATGAAATTTCCAATTTGTTCAAGAATCGGTACCCCCGTATATCCCAGTGGAAAATCATGCACCTGTACCCAGAGATCAATCGTGTCTAGCGCCACATCAATCGGTAACACCCCATCCGGAACTCTTTTGCAAACAAGTGAATGATTATTGAATGACCACGGACCCTCATCCATCACATACTCCACATCCGTCTCATGGTAGAAAATAAAGAGAAACAAGTTCGGTTGAATTTCCGAGACCTGCATCCCCCTTACCGGTTGCCAAACGGAAGCCATTACCTGCCGCATGTATTCCACTTTTATGATCTTCGTAGTTAGGAACCTGCCTACCATTCCCCAAGTCTGCTCCGTCTCTGGTGGCCCTCCACCCTCCGCTGCACCAGCCGGGGCGAACACAGCATCCTCCTCGTCATCGAGGACGATGTCCGTCCAACTTCGCGTTATGGCCGCTACATCCCATTCGCCCGTCGCTGCCATCTGTCGTAATCAAGGAACAAGGACGCAAAATCGGTAATCACCGATCGAAATAGCCAAGAAAGCCGTAGAGAAAAGCCTAGAAACCCTAGTGGAGGAGAAAAGCTCTAGAAACCCTAGAGAGCGTATCGAGTCATTCACTGTGGATATATAGTTATGAATTTGTGAATATATAATTCAAATTATGCAAAAAAAAAATGTTATTGCCGGGAATCGAACCTGATTTTTTTTTTTTTTAAAATTAGTCAAAACGACGTCGTTTTTGCAACCGTGTGCACCATAGATGGTGCACACGGTTGCACGGCATAATTTGCGAGTCAGGCAAATTATGTTGTGCATCCGTATGCACCATGCATGGTGCATACGGATGCAAAAACGACGTCATTTTATTAAAAACACGCGTCTCACTTAAAAAAAAATTCAGTTTCGATTCCAGCAACAACATTATATTGTGCATAATTTGAACTATATATCCAGAATCAATGAACTAAAATTCCAGAATTGATTAACTAAAATTCCAGAATCTATGAACTAAAATTCCAAAATCTATAAACTAAAATTCCAGAATCTATGAACTAAAATTCCAGAATGAATGAACTAAAATTCCAGAATGAATGAACTAAAATTCCAGAATCGATGAACTAAAATTCCAGAATCGATGAACTAAAATTCCAGAATCTATGAACAAAAAATTCCAAAATCTATGAACACATAATGATGTTGAGGAGAATCGAAACTGAATTTTTTTTAAGTGCAATGCGCGTTTTTAATAAAACGACGTCGTTTTTGCATCCGTATACACCATGCATGGTGCATACGGATGCACAGCATAACGATCCGTGATTTCTGATTGCAAGAAATGGATCAAGAGAGATAGGGACGTCAAGATCACTCATATCCCGAGGGAGAAGAATTTGGTGGCGGATGCCTTAGCCAAGGCAGCGATGAAACACATGTGTGATTGGATTGAGTTTCAAAGCCCTCCAAGTGTTATCCTTGAGATCCTTGAGAAGGACAGACGGGATGTTGAGTGTTTCAACAAAGATTTGAGAACTATGCACTAGTCTAGTTCCGGGGTTCATCCCCATCCATTTACCCTAAAAAAAAAAAAAAATAGAGGAACATTCTTGCCCACAATGCTTGCTGATTACAAATACCTCATGCTGAACAACTTAGAAAACATTTCAACTTCCAACACTACAACCATTGCTTACATTTCAAAGTTGCAACCAAATTGCACACTTAGAGATTATATTCGCCATACTAATAAGTTTGCATAAACCTAAAACCATGGGTATCCAACCCGTCCTTATGCATAGGCTCATAGTAATTGTCCATGCAGACAATTTGTGCGTTTGGGGATGCACGAGGGAAGCGTTCCAACTTCCTTTGGATTTTTCTCACCTTGGAGGCATTCATACCCCAACGCTTCCAAATAACAGCTCTCTCTAGCTCAGGGAATTTTGAGAGCAACAGTTTCATAAAAAACATTTCGAATGCAGATCCATTGAATGATTCAATCTGGATTGTGTTAAGCATCTGCATCTTCAGCTCCTGAATAACTAAGCAACCATCCGGATCCTCCAAAAGCCTTGAAGCAGCTTCTTTATCATCATCCTCCCAACCCTATAACTCGAGAAGAAATGAAAAACAAGCACAACTGTGAGGATATTTGTAAAAGCAAAACAAGAAGTATCATACATGATTGCCAAATATAATATATTTTATCTGCTATAATGTGCAGTTCACATAGGTTGGGGCATTTTGTAAGCAATTGCATAACACCGGTGAGCTGCCTCCCACAACCAAAACTTATTTCATACAGCTTCATCACTTGCAGATTTAATGAAGTTGGAAACATAGATACATCCATACACTTGAAAAATAGGAATAAAGAAACAAAATTAGCCACCACAATAACTTTAACAAGCCAGAAGGTAAAGAATTATATCTATCCATCCATTTGCATCAAGTAAATGAGTTATATTCTCAAACACCAAAGTGCCACACAACCCAAGAGTCTTAATGACTTTCAAATGCAGCGCCAACCATCTCGACTCAAGCACATGACCACCAATAGAAGCAAGAACAGACAAGATTTCAAGCTTTGGAGGGCTGATCTCAAACTCACTGATCCCTATACAATGCTCGAAAGCCAGCTTTTCAAGCTTAGGAATACTAAAACTAGAGGCAATTCCATTAACACTGCACTTAAATTGAACTCGCAAGAAAGCTAATAAAGTGACATTGGAAAATATATCATAAGAATTTACAGGCAAATCAATAAAGAGACGTGTGACTATCAGTTGCTTAATTGTCCTGCAAGAGAGTAAACAAAATGGCAACTGATATTCTGGCTCTAGATAATTATATAAACATATGTTCAGTTCCTCCACACCATTCCTTGACAGAAAACGACACCACCTATCAACATCAGACTGTCGCAGCTTAGGATCAGTACATAAACTCTCTAGAGTAAATTTCTTAACCGGCATATCACGGAAAAAGAGGATATTATTGATTATGTTCACGAGGGTTCTACCTTCATCATCTCGGTGCTGTTGGACACTTCGCAAGAATTAGGAATCGAACGTAAATCAGACTCCATTTTCTTTGAGTAGCCAAACATTGAAAATTTTGAAAAATAACTTCCGAAAGTCATTTTTCAAAATTTCAAACCAACCCTAAATTGAACACCAAAATCAAGATAGAAAAAATTATATTAATGCAATCACCTTATACCTATCACACTGTCATCATCCAACATCATCCGAGACAAAATCTAGTACTTAAATACATTCAAGGGAGACATTCTTCAGGTCTACTGCTTAGCAAAATAAGATGTCATCCTTATCTTACAAATGTTTACAACAATTCAGGACAACCATTGATTACATTTATACTTTAAACCATGCAATTAAGCTACACAATACTCAATTTGTAAAACTTTGGGAAGCCAACCACTCTATACCAAAAGTTGTAGTCCATGTAGACAACTTGTACTTTTGTAGATGCACCGGGAAAGCCAACAACTATCTTGGAATTTTGACTGCCATGGTGGAGTCGAGATCATATGATTCTTGAATAACAACTTTCTCCTAGTGATATAAAGAGCAACATTTTCACTAAATAAATTTCGAGTGTGGATGTCCTAAAACAGTTCAATTTTCAATGTGTTAAACATCTTTAGATCATGATCAATAAGATCCTCCGAAAGTTTATCTCATCAGATAAACATGTCTACAACTCAAAAAGAAATGAAAATTATGTACACCCACGAGGAAATTAAGAAAAAAGAAAATCATGATTGCCAAATATATATACTCTATAGGTTGGGGCATTTTTGAAGCAATTGCATAACGGTGAGCTGCTTCCCACAACCAAAACTTAAGTCGTCCAACCGCAGTACTTGCAGATTTATTGCAATTGCAAACAAAGATGCATCCATATACTTGAAAGATGGTAATAAAGAAAGAAAAAAAATTAGGCAGACAATTAAGAACTTTAACAATTAAGCCAGAAGGAAACTAATTAAATTAAATCTGTTGGCCATCCATTTGCATAAAGAAAAATGAGGCAGATTAGATTCTCACCGGCAAGGAAGAGCTACACAACCCAAGAACCTTAATTGCTTTCAAATGTGGTGTCAGCCATCTTGATTCACCCACATCATGCACAGAATGACAAACTGACAACATTTCAAGTTTTGGAGTGCTGATCTCAAATTTATTAATCCCACCACAATCAAAGAAACCCAGCATCTCAAGGTTAGGAATATTAATACTAGAGGGTGACATTGGAAAATATACCACCAACATTATTTAACGGCAAATCAATAAAGACACCACCTATTGAAATCAGACTCCCGCAGCTCAGGATAATATTTTGCAATCTGTAGAGTAAATTTCTTAACCGGTCCGGTCCAGCACGGGAAAGGAGAATATTATTTATTATGTCAACAAGAGTTCTGCCTTCATCATCGTGGCCCTCATCGACATTATATGTGAAGTCCAAATTGAACACAAGCTTCCCATGCTGCAACCAAACATCATTCCAGTGGGTTGAGAGTAGAGCAGTTCTGGCAGCATCTCGGATGGGCAAACACTCCAAAATTCTGTGCTTTATCTCTACCGGCAGAGGACTTATTAAATCCGAACTTGCATCCGCTACGGTGGTTTTGATTAGCCGACCTTGACCCATTAAATTGATGCGTCACTCGAAATCAAAAACTAAAATCCTTCTATTCTCTAACTGTAAGTTTAGTATTTCGCAAATAAAACGAAATTAGGAAGCTAAGAGTTAAGGGAGAACAGATATTGGGGGAAAAAGTGACAGAAACCCTAAGCACCGATGTTTGGGCCTTTTCGGGTTAGAAAAGTCGAAGGGAAATGGAATGCTATTCCTCTTGAAGATTAGCCGTGGAGCAGAGTAGCAGACGCCAGACGGAGAAGAATGCCGGCCGCCGGAGGAGCTGAGTGGAGACTGGAGAATCGCGGTGGAGAGTGGAGGCGGAGAGACGGCTGAGTCGCAGGGGTGAAGGGCGAAGCCGGATTGTTGAACTAGGGTGTAGGGTCATTTTAGTTTTAAAGACTTTACAATATTTATTTATTTAAAATTTCTATTAATTGATAGTTTCAAACTAAATTAACTGTTAATTGAAATTTTATAAAATCTATAGTTATTAATCGAATCGAATTATTTTAGTTAAAAAATAATTAATCAAAATTTATGGACTTGATCAGTTTACTGAACTTTCATAGAAGTTTATACACTCCCACTTAAAACGTTTAAATTAAAGGAATATATTATTATTAATTTTAAAAATATGATTACTCCTCAATTCCCATTTTGTTTTAAACCTTTAGGGGAATAGGGCAAATTATTGTGTGGACCATAACAAAAAGTACATTTTCAATATACTAAATGTCCATTATTTTTGTACTATATGTACATTATGCAATATAATGTACACTCAGTACAAAAATAATGTACATTCCCTGAATATAATGTACATTATTTTTGTATTGGATGTACATTATTTTTGTATTGAATGTACATTATTTTACAGTATGCAAAATATGGTCCATACAACTTGTGTAGATCATGGTCCACACAATAATGATTGGGAGAATAGGCTCGAGGCCCAAATCCAGTTGAATTCGAGGAATTGTGACCAAAAGTTTTTTTTTTTTTTAATACTAATGACTCTATTACAATGTAATACATGTTCATAAATACTTTCTCAACCTATTGAAGCACAAAGAGTCAATATCGCCTCCACTGAAGCGAGAAACCCACAACCTCCCATATGATGGAGCAACTTGGTGCCATTGAACTACATGGTCCTTGGCGAGGCCAAACGTTAATTAGATCATGCGAATAATTGAAATCCATAAGCAAGGTCTCTTGGCCTAGATTAGGGTGTGCATAATTTGATAAAAACACGGCAAACTAATATTTTTTTTTGGCTATTAACTCTATTACATTGTAGTATCTGTTCATCTATACTTTTCTCAACCTATTGAAGCACAAAGAGTCAACACCACCTCCACTGAGGCTCGATCTCATGACCTCCCATATGAAAGAGCCACTACATGCCATCTGAGCACAATGTGTTTGGCCGGCAAACTAATATAATTGAACATTTTCAATTAATCATTTTTAATCAAAATATTTTGGTTTATTATTTATATACTGATATTATGACTATTTTATAGTTTGAAAGTATGAGGTGAAAAATCTTTAAATAAAATTATATATCTAACTAAATATAATAAAAGCCAATGACGGTAAGGGACTAAGGGTATAACGGAAATAAGATGTAATTGTTTGTAACAATGAATTTCACATTTTGCTTACCTTTTTGTACAATTATAAAATCTTTCCTCACATTCAAAAAAAAAATAAAATCTTTCCTCATTTGTCCTTACCCTTTTCTTATTTTCTTTTCTGGCATAACAAAATTTACAAAACTTAACAATTAACAATATAAAATTTAACATTGTTACGTTGATCCCATTTCATTCACACAATTTATTAAGATAATTTAGCATCTTCTACCAACATAACATGAGACTCATTCTTAGCACCTCAAAAATAGCTTCCATAATTTTTAATCTAATTTTGTCCAGACTAAATTTCATTGAACCAACATATGCCAAAATTAAAATAGAACATGTACTAAATTAATATCAAGTAATTTCATACTAACAATCTCCCCATTTGGCATATGATGATCAAACAGAAACAATCTCCCAAAATTAGTAAAGCATAATTTATCAAAAAAATTAATCCAAAATTCATTTCAAAGTGCACAAAACATGTTTGGGCCGAAGTTCTCAAATCTAGTATCATAAAGAGCTTTTAGTGTTACTTGCCCAATGATTCCTCTTTTTTCACCGACACTGAATGTGACTTGACCAACATACTCTTCAGAGATATTTTTTAGACATCCCTTATTTCTTGTCATGTGGTGGGAACAGCCATTGTCAGAACACCATGACAACAAAGACATGGAGAGTTCGGTTACCATGCAGCGCACCTTTGACCTCTATACTTTCTTTTGCCTTTAAATTTCATTGAAATTGAAATGTGTAAATTTCAGTGCTTGGAATACCAAGTGATATTTGAAAAATATAAAATTATATAATTTATATCCCTTAATTAAATTTATTATAGTAGGAAATAAGGGCCTTAAATTTAGAGCTATCAAAACGGACTCAACTCATTGGGTTAGGTCCGTTTAACCTGCATTTTAGACTGATTGTGCAGTCCATTTTGTTGCCCGTATATATATTTTAAAAGATTAATATAAAACATTATGTTTTGTCTAGCCTTTAACCTGTACATTATACATTAATCCATTAAAACATTTAGTTACCTATTGTGCACTCTCTGCAATTGTGGTTTGAGACAATAAGACAAAAGGAACATACGAAAAAGTAAAATGAAATAATTCAAAGAAGTTACAGTGTTAGAATAATCTAGTTTATATTTAATCTGGTCAATTTTTTTAAGCATGCATATATTCAACAACATTCATAATTTTAATCCAAATACATGTTATTTTTTTGTTTTTTGTTTTTTTTTTTTTTGTTTTTTTTTTTTTGTTTTTGCATTTAAATACATGTTTTTGCCATAATATCTTATGCATGTCACATTTTAAGTGAAGTTTAGATGTACTTTTTTATTTATTTATTGAATATATTAAAGAAGACCCAAATTAAACTATTGTACAAATCTCCATTTATCTTGTAGTTAAACCATTGACCAGTGTCCACCTTGCAATGTAGACGTTATTCAAAATCTTTACCTTCTTAATTATTCATTATCATAGATATATAAATATTTACTATAAATACACAAATTTACTATTGTAAGTAAATAAATTCATTACAGTAAATACATAAATTCATTATTGTTAGTCACATTTTTAAAGTTGTTTTGAAACATAATAAACAAGTTTGGTATCCTACACAGTGACAAATGAGAATGAAACATGGTTGGGTAGTTCTAAATGAAGTCATAAGAAACACCAGCATATGTAAAATTTAGTACACCTAACAAAAGCAAAAAGAGAAACATTCTTGGA